TTAATATCTCCTCAACGAAGCCTCGGACAACATTTTCGCCAAGGAAAAAGTTGTTTCAAATCACCTCCCGAACCACACTTTTCAAGGTGTTGCAATATTTTTGGGACACCCTGTATATTGTTTGCGATATTAAATTATAACGATCTAATTTTCGAACGAAGAGCTGCGTTCATCTTTTATCCGACACTTGTATCTATAGAAGAATTTCGTCCACCTCCACCCGAGGCGTCGAACTTGGTGTTTACATTGTATATAGCTCGAGTCGCAACCCGAGAACCTCCCCGCCCCCCCATCCCTCTCCCTTCCGCGCCTCTACCCCCCACTTCCTGAGTTTAGAGCGATAAGAACGTTTCTGTCTCGGAAGAGATGCACTCAGCCAGCAGCAGTATCTAACAGAAGACTGATGAGCAAAGACCCGGTTCAGAACAGATTTACCGCTAAAAAAGTACAAATACGATGTCTAGCGCGAAGCAATAACTCGAAACACGAATTTCCTCCGATGCGGCGAACGTCGCTTGCAATCGGAGGAATTTTGTGTATTGTAGCTCCTTAGACGCTGAAACCGACGAAAGACGGAAATAACTCTGGAATCTCAGAAGCGTTCGAGGGATTATACACGTTGATACGAAATGATATGATATATGACGTTTAATATGCGTGGAATGTTTATAATACATTAGCGATGCATATGCGAAATGTAAAACAATTCTTGGCGGGCTTGAAGAGAATTGGAAGATCGGTATTAAAGATTAATTTCTATGCCTAATACGGAATGTCACGAACGCAAAATTATCTCCAAACACCGACTCGTGATAAAAATGATCAGTGTTTTGCAGACGAGCCTCTTTCGTCGCGCACGCGTATCGTCCCGTACGTACGGCTTGTTTTATAAATAAAATTATATTTTCACCACGCGTTGCATCGTGCTCCAAAGGTTGTCGCGAATAGTGAAACAAGTAGCCACGCGGCATCCCTTTTCCACGCGAACAAAGCGCTTCGCTGGCGCCATTTTTAACGCGCAGGCGTGAAAAGCGACTCGTCCGATAAGACCGAACGCGGAATACATACAGAGCGAACAAGATAAAGCAATAGGAGTCTCGGTCTACCTGCGCTGCGTGGCGGTCGACAACCGAGAGCGATTCTTAGTTCATACAGGGATTCCTTTCTTGTACTTCAAAAAATATTGCACGTTATATTAGCTTATCCCAAAAGTTTCTTTCGTAATTTATTACACTGCCAATTATTACACTGTCGATTATTTTGTGTGTCAGTGTTTATACAAATAGACAATCTAATTTCTCAGATGTTGATGTTGTCACAGTAACGGAGTCGTATACAATTCAATAATGTAACATTAGACATCAAATATTGTGTATGTATTAATTATTAATCAAACGAAAGAAACTTTTGGGACAACCTAATATACAGGGTGTCTCAAAAATGTTGTAACTCCTTGAAAGAGGTGATTCGGGAGGTGATTTGAAACAACTTTTTCCTTAGCGAGAATGTTGTCCGAGGCTTCGTTGTGGAGATATTAACGAAAAACGTCGACCAATCAGAGCGCGCGTATACCGTTGGAGCGGCCGTGGTAGGCGTGGCTACGCGCTAGGCGGCCGTGCACATACGCTACCGCGAGCGCTCCATCGGCATACTCGCGCTCTGATTGGTCACTGCATTTCGTTAATATCTCCTCAACGAAGCCTCGGACAACATTTTCGCTACAGAAAAAGTTGTTTCAAATCACCTCCCGGACCACCTATTTCAAGATGTTACAACATTTTTGGGACACCCTGTATATACATGGTGGAGGTGATTTGAAACAACTTTTTCCTTAGCGAAAATGTTGTCCGAGGCTTCGTTCAGGAGATATGGAGTGGAAAACTCCGGACCAATCAGAGCGCGAGGATGCCGGTGCAGCGCCCACGGCAGCGTATGAACGCGACCGCCTAGCGCGTAGTCACGCCTACCGCGGCGGCTCCACCGGCATCCTCGCGCTCTGATTGGTCGGGGTTCTCTATTAATATCTCCTCAACGAAGCCTCGGACAACATTTTCGCCAAGGAAAAAGTTGTTTCAAATCACCTCCCGAACCACCTCTTTCAATGTGTTGCAACACTTTTGGGACACCCTGTATAACTATACGGTAATGGTAACTCTTTCGGACCCGACGCGCGACCATCGATGCGCGACCATTGCTTTACGTTTAAACTTGGTGCGTTCTCCGAGAATCGTTCCGAGTGAGAACGGCGCGAAAATTGTTCGTTGTAAATTGAGTTTCGAGCGGTGGGTCCGAAAGGGTTGAGACTCGAGGAGGGAAAGCACAAAGGAAGCGACGAATGAATTTTTACGGGACTTGTTTCAGTACACAATGCGCTAGGGGTGATGGAGACAGTGGGCAAGCAAGTCCAGGTAGTGAGCGGACTGGGGGTGGGGGGTCCGGTGGGTCCTGTGGGTCCAGTGGGGGCAGATTTGCATCACCATCATCATCCTCACCCCCACTCTCATCCTCCGCACCCACACGCCCACCCCCACGGTCATCCTCACGGGTCCCATGGCCACTCACTCGTCAGCGTAACGTCGACCCCTGGTAGGGGTCAGCCGCAACCACCGGTCTCGCATAACCAGCATTTACCCGCGAGATCTACTCCAGTACAGCTGCACAGGTAAGCTTGTACGTGTGTTCGCTATCGCGATTCGCCTTTGCATGACTGTGTATATATATAGGATGTTGTAATTAAAAGCGGCCACGTATTTCCCTCTTGCTCCAAGAACGAGTCACCGCGTCCTTTAAACAGGGAACAATCTTCGAGATGATGCATAATCACGGAACATTTTATTTAAAGAATATATTTCATTTTAATTGCCACGAGTATCAGGTGTACTGGAAGGTAACGTCGTTTGTGCAATTTTAAATACTTGTTTATCGCTCGTCGGCTCGTTGATTTTTATCGATATGGAAAAAAATTTGAAAATTTGCACACTAGATGGCAAAAGATTCATAGGGAAGTTATTGTATTTCACCCTAGAACGAAAAATCGATTTTTTACCAGATCTCCGTGCTTCAAAGTCATTCGAGTCATTTTAGCCTATTTTTAACAAATTGTTCAATTGTTCACATAAATATAAATATATGAATATATAAATATATGAATTAAGCGAGCAACAATAACTAGCTAGTTAAAAATTTGTTTGAATTCAATGTAAAAGAAACGACATTGCTTTCCAGTCTGCCTAATAAATTTGCCGTACATAAAAATCAACAAAGGCAATCAACGAACCATCGAATAGATTCAGCCCATAATTAAAAAATAGACCAAAAAAAAAAAAAATACACCAAACATGTCACGTTGCACCCCTGCAACTTCAACGTGATATCACATAATTCTTCGACCGGTGAATCACACAGCCCGTATCTTTTTACGTCTGCACGTCAAATAATTGTTATCTCCGCAATTACGAGATTTCATATCGCGTAGGCGTAATTCTCCTATCGCCTCGGCTTCAGGAAAACGTATCGAGAGAAAAAGAAAAGATTCCGTGAACCGTAAGGTGACTGCTGCGTCACGTGACACGCACTCGACGATAACAGCGTGTCTCCAAGTAATTCGAAACTCGATTCAAAACTCGCGCTCCTATTTCTAGTAACGTAACGATAACCGTGTCGCCGCCTTTATTATGGCAAGCCTCGTATGCAGACCATATCTTGGACCATATCTTTTTTTTTTTTTTTTTTCTATAAATTAAAAAGAAATACTCGATAATAAATGTTTATTGTTTTCGTAATTGGAAATGGTTGCAATATTTTTAACCGATAGTACTAGTCCTAGTTTCATCGCTGTTACTCCAGCCAATCATCGTGACGTATAAAAGGCAAACAAAGAACCTTTATTTATTCAGTACACCGATACTTACATACATTGAATACAGGGTGCCTGATACATTAAATACGTTTACAAATGAGTTCTAGTTTCGCAAATTCGTGACACGCGGCGTGCGAAGGATTGAAATTGGCGCGTATACACGTTCAGCGTGCTGCGCATGCGCACTCCCGATTTCGCCACTACTGCTACCTGTCGATCCTAACCTCAAACGTCAACGTGCAACGTTGATTTTTAACCTCGCAAAGTTTACATTTAGCATTTATAGTTAACTGAGATATGTACATCAGCGGTCGCGTACCGTATCCAAATCGAAATACGAAAGTGCTCCTGTGATTTCTGGAAACGCGATGTTCCAGATGCGCGAATGGAGAATGTACATGGACAGGAAAGGTTCCTTTGAAACCCGAGATTGTTCGTTTACGCGATGAAGTAAGTCCACTTGGTTTTGTTCCTTGTTCTATGTACACGTAATGTACATAATTTGTTTATTATTCCTTGTATCTGTGAAGCTCGTGTTTCTTATCGGTACGAAAGATTCGTGGCTTTATTTACATTCGAGCTAACAAGATTTCTTGTGTATTTCACCCGCTCCGGTCGTCGGACCGAAATTGTATCGAAAGATTCGTGTTTACCTAGTTACCCGAGAAAGTGTGTCTCGACTTGTCGTGCCTCGACGCCCGTACCTTACGTTCTGCTAACGAATCCTAATTCGCGTTCCTAGAATGTAGCCCGCGACGACTGCCGTCGTAGGTGTAAAGTGTGGGTGAAATAATTGATCGAACGCGGGAAAATGTTAGGTTAGGTTCGACATGAGGAACGTACAAACGAAGGGAGCAACGTTACATGTACGTTTCGTGCGTGTACTATACGGGACGCGATGTTTCGTTTCAAGATTAACGAACTCTATACAAAGGGTGGGAACGGAATAATTAATGGAAAATTAAAAACGACCGTCCTCCATTATTCTTTTTCGAAACAATGGTCGACTTTGATGCCTTCCCGGATTAATTTATCCGATATATTCCTCGTAATCACGAAGTTTGAACCGTTACGTTTCCTTAGCGTCGAATTCTGAACGTATGTTTCGATTGATGAAAAACCAGAATAAATCTAGGGACTTGTGGAACGAGGAAAGAGAAAGCTAGTAGGTCGCACTGCGGCGAATGAAAGATGGCAGCGACGACGGAAATGCACAGCTCTTTTCGATAAGTTTAAATAGGATTCGGTACAGGTAATAATAACGCGGTTGACAACGTTTCGTAGAATTTGAATTGGAATTTGTTCAAATTAAGATACAAAATTCTCGTTATTTCCTAGACGCTGACGGTGTTAATTTCATATAGTTACTTTTTGTTTAGAGGTAAGGAAGGAGGTAACGGAATCCGTCGTGGTTAAATGCGCGCAGAGGCGTATGCACATTTGCACGTGCATACCGTGTTATCATTCTCTTTGTGACCTATGTACGTACATAACGTTGTATCGCATGCGTGTCATTCATAAAAGGGAAAAAGAGTAGGTGATATATGGTAGGGAGAAGATTTTAGAAGTGGGAGGAGGGGGTCACTGACCGTTACATCATCGGGAACTCATAATCTAGGGAAATTCACAAGACGGTGAAACGTTTGTAATGCTAGATTCGAACACGGTAAAAATAAACTTGTAATTAACGCCGCTAACACGCGCAATACCGTTACATCTCGGTAAACACTCGTTCTCGATCCAAGTTGATTCCTTTAATCAGACATGGGCAAAACCCTAGGCTTCGAATAGATCCGAAGTTTGCTGGTATGTTTGTCTCGTTTCGTTCTTTGGAAAATGTTGAAAGAGGAAAGGAGACAGACGTAGCCTAGGGTTTCGCCCATAGGGGAATCTGAATGTTATCATCGATGGCTGTTTGTTGTCGAACAATCCGTTATCAGTTTTCAAAAATCGATAGAACGCAAAGTGTTTGTCGTAATAGTTCTCGATAAAAATAGTTCTCGATAAAAATATTTCTCGATAAAAATAGTTCTCAATAAAGATAGTTTACAATAAAAATTCCAAAGGTTTCGAAAAATAAGTATTTCACCAGTTGCGTAACATTTGCTAAATTTTGTCCAATGTCTAAACATGTACTTTGCAGTTTAGTTTTGCAATGCCGTTTCGTTATGTAATATATACTCGAAGATGGTTGAAAAATGCCGATATCGCGTCGAACGTGAATATTATCACAGAGCACGTTAGCAGACATTCCGAACGAGTGCGTACGAAACGTCGCGTTAAGAATGAAATTAGTCTGCGAAGAAAAGGTGTACGAGCGTAAAACGAGCCAACACCGAGTAATCCTACGTCGCGTTCCCCTGGTAAATAACGCCGCCAGAAACTCTCGGGCAGACCTCGACGAATGTGCGGCGATCCGGCAACCTCGCGACAGCAACGTCGCCTTACGAAAGCAGACACAGGCACATTCACCCTTTGTGATGTTCGACGCATGCGCAGTCGTTCGACGCAGCCTAGGTACCGATGCACCGGCACGCGGAACCATGATCCGTGCTATACTGCGACACCGCATATCGTTATATCCTACAGCGCACGCGCACCGTATTTTGCCACATGTGACAAACTATATAATCATATTTTTACCGCGCGACGCGATTGGTTGCTCGATCATCGCCGTCGGCTTTCGTATGCGCTCGTCTCGTATTATTTTTCTACCACGATCGAATTGTGGCGTGGCACAATTTTTCTATTTTTTTGTCCTAGAAGATGGGACGAAGTGTAGACGAAGAGTTGGGAGGATTTTTTGAATGAAACTTTATGTAAAATTATCGGTGTGCCGTTGTGACGGCCCTGAGTTGACACGTGACAGAGCAAAGGGTACTAAAGTTTCTCCGGTTTGATTCGACGGGAATCGATAACGCTCCGTAATGATTTCAGATCAGCGCAAAGTTACGTGAACATCAAGAGCAGTAGCCCCGTCTCCCCGAGAACGGTAGGAGCAGGCGTGACGTACGTCCAGGGTGGTGCGGCTGCATCTTCGGCGGCGGCCGCGGCAGCAGCAGCAGCGGCGGCAGGGACGGCTGGAAGTGGGTCTGCTGGGGGCCCTTCGATCAGCGGTGGCGGCGGTGGCGTTGGCAGCACTGGTGGCGGGAACAGCGGTACCGGAGTCGTAGGGGCTGGAGCTGGTGGTGGAGCCGTGTCGAACGTGCCGCCACCCGGAAGCGGGAACAGCAGCGGTACCGGTAACAGCGGCGCGGGTGGCACGAGTGGCGGGAATACCGGCACGGTGGGTGGCGCACCAGGAGGCTACGTTACCGTACCCATGGCTGGTGGTCTACGGTACATGCATCCGTACCCACCGACGCCAACCTCGGCGTCGGTACCATCCGTAGCTACGGTGGTCACGTCGGCCTCGTCGGCGTCGACTCCCGTACCAGTTCCAACGCCCGCGGCCGCGCCTGTAAATCCACCCACGGTCAGTCAAACGCCACCACCGTCGCTCTCGGGAACTGCTTACGCCGCAAGAGATGCATATCGCAGCGCCACCACGAACGTAGGTATTCCCTATTCGAGTCGAACTCGATGATTTACCCTTTGCACGCGGATGTACCATCCGAGGGAACCTACCCTTCGCCCTCTGGTTCCTCTATTCCTCGCTTACCGACCGGTAGCTTATTAACCGACCTTTTTTTACCGTCTATACTTTACCGTTTATACTTTATCGTCTATTACACCGAGATGGCATCCGCATGCTCCTATCGCGATACGAGAATAGCAGGGGAGGAAAAAGGGAAAGAGTAAAAGCAGATATTCCGGTCGGAATTCGAGTGCAACAAATGCACGACGTTCTGGATGTATTGATAGCGCACCGCCGTCTGCTCTTTTGAACGGGGTCATCGATTTTCTTGAAATAGGTTCACGTCGAGAAGGTTAGGCAAGATAAATTGAATCATACGCGCGAGAAAAGAAAGAAACCGTAAGGAGGAGAGAGAGAGAGAGTGTGTAGACGAAGGATAGATTTTTAAACGGATGTATGTTGTTTTTTTTCAGGTGAACGAGAGGATCGCCATCAGCGTGAGCAGCAGTCCTCTGTCGCAGATAGGAGTTGGCGTTGGAGTAGTTACAGCCGAGTATGCGTTGAATAGCGGTATAGGTAGCGGCATGGTCGGTGGAAGAGGGGACAGACCGAGGATATCTCTTTTACCACCTGCCTCGGTGACGCCGACACCTTCGCCAACGGCGCCAGACTATCAGCATGTGTCTAGTGGAAGAAATTCACGAATAGGACTCATGCCCGTCCAGCCGGATCAGTATTGCAGCCGCGCGGCCGTTGAGATGGCCAACATGCAGGAGGCGCCGCCCTTTAAAAAGATACGCTTGGTACAACCGACTCAAGTTCAACTGCAGTCCCAATCGCAGTCTCGCTGTCAGAGCCTGTCACCTGCCGACCCCTGCGTGAAACAAGAACACGTGGTGCAATTGCAGCAACCACTTAGGATAGACACTAGGGTGGGTTTAATTGGGAGACATTCCGTTAGTAACTAAGATCCTGGATGATTTGCATTCGACGGTATTATATGATATATTGTTGCTAGGAGCAGCCCGCTGCAGGTGCGTATACGCCGCAGACAGAAGCGATTTCGCCCACGCTCCCGGAACCGAACACGCAGGAGGACGCGCAGTTCCGGAGTACGAAGGACGATCTTTTGCAACAGATCGCCAAGGTCGATAGGGAGATCGCGAAGAGAGAGTCTCAAATAAACAAGCTGCGGAAGAAGCTGAAGGAATTGGAAGAAACGGCGAACAAGCCTCTGGAAGCCAGCGGGCTTAAACGACAGGTTGAGGAACAGTCTCAACAACCAAAGCATCAGTCTCTGGCACAAAAAATTTATGCTGATAATAGGGTAAGATGCTGGTAACGAAATCGTCATGATGACAATTCGGTGGGCACGTTTCGTTGAACTATAACTTTGATTACAGAGAAAGGCGGAAGAAGCTCACAGACTCCTCGAGAGGCTGGGTCCAAAAGTGGAATTGCCTTTGTACAATCAGCCGTCGGATACAAGCGTGTACCAAGAAAATCGATCGAAGCATCAAACGTGTATGAGAGCGAGGCTTATAGCGAGGCTTCGACGGGAGCACGCTGAACGCGCGTCTCTTCATCGGCAGCAGTCGCAAACGTACGCCATCTTGGTGCAGGAATGGCACCGTAAAGTGGAGCGATTGGAGGCAACGCAAAAGCGAAAGTCGAAAGAAGCGAAGAATCGCGAGTTCTTCGAGAAGGTGTTCCCGGAATTGCGAAAACAGAGGGAAGACAAGGAACGTTTCAACAGAGTCGGTGCTCGTATCAAGAGTGAAGCCGATCTAGAAGAAATTATGGACGGCCTTCAAGAGCAAGAGGCAATACCATTTTATAACCATAATTGGCCTGGTTTTTCCACCGAACGGTTGATGCGCGTATCAAGTATTCTCAACGCGCTGTAAATGCTGATATACGTATGTTTCTAAAAAAGAAAAAAAAAAAGAAAAAGGACAATGTTGCATAGCAAAATGAAATTTTGTTTAGACATCTGAAAAGTGGACATTTATTTCCGTACAATGTTCTCTTACGATTCTTTGGCAAAAATCGTTACTTTTTATCTCTTGCATTATTCTTTGATATTTCATATTTAAAATAAGCATCGTTGAAACTTCCATTTGATTCCATTGCTGCATGATTAATTTAATTCTGTCTCTTTTCTTCAATTTGCATTCTGCATCGTCAGAATTGCAAATAAAAACTCACACACGACGATATGTATGTCAATATTAATATCCATTTGGTTATCTATCGTACACGGCACAGCATTCAGTGTATACCTTATTCGTATTTAAAAGTCTAACCTAACGTGACTCGATTCGGATCAGCTTCGATATACGTATGAAAAGTTTCTACGGTGTAAACTAGGCCAATATGCCGATTAATTTTCTGACATTCTTTTAACGTTCTTTTAACATTCTTCTTTTAACATTCTTTTATGGTTATTTTTCCAGATGGAAGACAAGAAGATGCGTTCGTATGCGGTGATACCTCCTTTGTTGTTGGATACGAAGCAAAGACGAATCGCGTTTCAGAATCGAAACGGGCTGCTTCAGCCGGAGGAATTGGAGGCTCTTCACAGCGAACGGAAGTTGATCAACGTATGGAGTTCCGTGGAGCACGAATTGTTTAAGGAAAAATATTTACAACATCCTAAAAACTTTGGAACGATAGCTCAATCGTTAGAACATAAGTCCGTTCCAGATTGCGTGCATCATTACTACCTCACTAAAAAAGCAGAGAATTATAAGCAGCTATTGCGGAAATCGCGGCAACGAACACGTAGCTCTCGGAACAATCCTAACAATAAAGTAAGTTTATACTTGCTGTTTCGAATAGAAAATCGTCGACATACATCTGGTATACAAATTCACGTTTCACTTGGCTTGCTTCAGGTAAATAACACCAGTTCGAGTATCGGACCTATAGACATTTTAACTACGGGTGTCACGACGAGGTTGCAACGCGAACAACAGCAGAAGACGCAAGAAAATCCTCAAAGTAATTCGGCGGCAACGTCGACTACAACTACAACGACAACCACGACAACGTCGTCCGGCGTGTCGACAGCTGTTGCGACGACAATAGCAACCACTTCAACGACTCCTTTAAGTTCGACAACGTCGAGTACATGTTTAACGTCAACGGAATCGGTGATAACGTCCACGACAGCTACAACGACGTCCGTACTGAGCACCACGACGTCGTGCGTCACACCGTCGTCGTCTACGACAACGACAAACACCAAGGATACCAAGGAACTGATCAAAGACATCAAAGTGGAACCCAAGGAGCCGCATATTAAAGTGGAAATTAAGGAGGAACCGCAGGAAACAGTATCGGGAAAAGATGTTAAAGTAATGTACGTAACGTATCTTTTTTTTTTTTTTTTTTTTTTTATTATTATTAACGTTTCCAATTACATTAGTTGAAACGACGCGAAGCAACGATAGCCCGTGATTCTTGAAAAAGGAAAATAAATTGTTGGAGCGCAGGCAGGGGATTGGATTGGAAGGGACGAGGCGGCGAGTGATGGTGGGGGTAGGGTGAAATAGAATGGGCTGGCGAAACGGGGTTCGCGGGGGAACGTGGGATAGTTATTAGCAGATTGTAATGCTAATCAATGGTTTGCTGGTTAGTGGATTAAGTTTACCTAGGCGTTCATCATCGAAATTGAGTTGATCGTTGAAAATCTGATTCCGAACCGCGTGAAATCCGGGAAGTTGACTCTTCTCGTTTCTGTAGAAATGATATGCAGATTAAAAATTGAGCGTATTACCGGCTCGTGCGAAAGTTGTTTGCGTAATTGTCGTTATTGGAATGTAACAAAATTACCGACGTAATTTTCTCTTGTTTGACTGTCGTTGCAGAATCGATGGGAAGAGCACGTTGTCGTCGTTGTCGTCGTCGTCGTCGTCGTCGTCGTCGTCGTCGTCGGTGAACACCAACGCGACCAACGCCACGACGATACAGTCGGATTTCAAAGACTCCAACAAAAAGAAATCGAGCTGCAGAGAGGCAAACAGCAGCGGCGTTGCTGGCGTCGGAGCTGCCAGCAGAATAAAGGAGAAGAAAAAAGATAATCACGCCACTCCTATGGAAACCAGCGACGAGGAGGCTCAGTCGATGGACACCATCGGTGAGTTTTGTAAAATAGATAACTATTTCACGTATTTGCTTCGCTCGACTTGACAAACAAGCAAGTCTGATCACTCGAATATTTAATACTGTTCGGTTTAATAAGTGAAAAATGTTTCAATCTTTTTTCAAACATAGTCGAAGGGATCCTATTAACGTAACTGTTCGTTGCTTAGGCTTTAAACAATTTTCTGGGTGAAAATACTTGGTCAGAGAATTTCTGAAATATCTCACCTTCGTTTCTGAAATGTCTCACCTTCGTTTCTGAAATATCTATTCGCAGTTTTGTGTGGTTGTAAAAGGTGTCTCGGTCGGAGATAAACAGGATTTGCTTTTATTGTAACAACGGACCATCGTTTGAGTTAATTTTTATTTAATCTGTAGCGGATAGTCGCTTTGTATTTTGAATTTTGTCGATCTCCGTTATCGGTACTCCATTTTGCATGTTTCGACGCGTTTCTAGATTAACTCGGTAAGTAATTACAGAAATTAACGTAGTCGTTGATCGAACGTGTGCCGTACCGTGCCGCACTTCGATACAAATTCATCGTGCGATTCAGGGTCGCTCCTATAATTTGTCTACACTTTTCATGGAGAGCGTAACGAATTGTGCCGGAAATTAATCGCTCTTAATAATCGACGAGGACGAAATATTAGCAGTAGTAGCAGCGACTATGCGTGTATTCGTTAAAAATTACGTAGAAATTTCAATCACGCTGACGAGACGTCGCGAACGATAGTAAAAATGATATCACAACAAAACAACAACAAAATTTATCCAAGGTATTTATTATTTCGTGTATTCTAAAAACTGAACTTTTCGGTAGACTTATACGATAGAGATATATATATATATATACGAACGAACGAGAGACAAAGCGTGAACGAGAACTAGCCCGACGGATAGGTGTCGGACTGGTAGTCCGGGGGTCCCGAGTTCGAGTCCCGGCCACCTCGGTTTTCGGTACAGGTGTTTTTTTCTTCAAATCCTATTTCCTGCCTACGCAACAGCCTTCGAATGATTCAGAATCGATCACTTTACGCAGAAAAAAAAACACCGTTTCGGTTCGTTGCACTTTAATTACTCGAATTTCACTAAAATATATTTCAATGGTTGGAATCACGACTCTGCAAGTGGGTTGAATCGTCGACAGAGCAGAGTCCTTCTCTTGATCGGTGTGTGTCTCCTCCACGGCCCGAGAGTGTACGACCTTGTTACGACCTTGTAGGACTTTGTACGGTCGCGAAACTTTGAGAGAAAGATGTATTCCTTATTTCCTGTCGTTGGTGATCGAAGTGGCCTCTCGGTCGTCGGCTGGCGCGTTGGTGTCCTCGGCTCGCTGCCTCTCCTCCGCGTTGGCGTGACAGAGCTTCCTGTGTTTGTGGACGAAGTAGTAGCTAGGGAACTTGCAGCCGCAGATCTTGCAGGGATAGTACTGAACGTTCAGGTCCAGCAGCCGCACCTCCCTTCTGGCGCGCCGCACGTCCTGGCGTTGCGTGTTGTTCCCCGGCGACTCGTTGAGCCTGGTGGGCAGCAGGTGCCTCTTGGTGTGCTTCCTGTAGCAGTACTGAGATTTGAAGGTGTGCCTGCAGTAGCTGCAGGTGTAGCTCTCGGTGCCGGTGTTGGCCTCGGTGCCGGACTCTGCGGGGTCACCGGCCATCCTGGCGGCCTGAGGTCTCCCGTTCTCGTCGTTCTCGGGCTCGAAGCACGACCTCTGGACACGTTGTTGTTGCGCCGGGTTGGAGTAATTCTCGTTGAGAACGCGGTGGAACTTGACCGGTCCGTCGCAGCAGGCCACGTCGTACACCACCGACGACACGCCGCTGGAAGAGCTCTCTCCTCCTCGGCCTCTCCTCTTGGACGACTTGGCTCGATCGTTCTCCGCGACGGACAGGACCTCCACGCTCCTCTCGCGACGCTGGCTCGCGATAGCAGGCGACACCCGACCGACAGCCTCCGAATTACCCGTCTCGTGGTCCAGCTCCTCCTTGTACCGTCTCCCGCCATCCCGGACCTGCTGCTCGGACTTCTTGCTCCGGCAGGAGGGCACCGACGACTGTGACGCGGAGGACGGCGTCGGCGAGACCGAAGGCGTCGGCGACGGCGCCCTCCCAGCGAAACCTGTAAACGCTGCAGCGACGAACGGCAGCGAGCCCGAGGACCTCTTCCCGTTCTCCGGCGACCTCTGCTTAGCCTCTCTCGGCACGCTCGATTGCGACTTCGGGCTCCTCTCCACCTGGAACGCCGCCGGCGACGGAGCCTTGCTGTTGGCAAAAGAGCAGCGGAGGCTGGTTAGAGGTGGCGAACGGAGGCGCTGCCAACATCGAAGAGGAAAGAAACGTTGTTTCTAGAGCCGCGCTATCATCGGTGGTATTGAAGTGACAAGGAGGCCTTCTCAAGGCAAACGCTCGCACAGAGAACCCGAGGTACGGAGGCACGGAGTTCTGAGGCACGGAGTTCCGGAGGTACGGAGTTCCAGAGGTACGGAGGCACGGAGTTCTGAGGTACGGAGTTACGGAGGTACGGAGTTACGGAGAACTCTTGGAGCAAATGGAGCATTTAGTTGGAAGAGGCTCGCACAGAGAATCCGAGGAACGGAGGTACGGAGGTACGGAGGTACGGAGTTACGGAGGTACGGAGTTCCGGAGGTACGGAGTTCCGGAGGTACGGAGTTACGGAGAACTCTTGGAGCAAATGGAGCATAGAGTTGGAAGAGGCTCGCACAGAGAATCCGAGGAACGGAGGTACGGAGTTACGGAGAACTCTTGGAGCGAATGAAGCATAGAGTTGGAAGAGGCTCGCACAGAGAACCCGAGGAACGGAGCACTCTTGAAACAAATGGAGCATTCGGTAGGAAGAGGAGCCGGGAGTGTTTGTCACCGAAGCACGAGACGTGGTCTCAAGCGACACGCGGATAATCTGAAAGATATTAAGCGTACGGTCTATTAAGCGTACGGTTTATTAAGCGTACGGTCTACTAATCGTGCGCTCTATCCACCGCATTTATTCGCTCGCCGAGACTACCTAGCATTCGCACCTATACCGGGCGGAGGTTTGCGTCTCCTGGACGCTGCAAGTAGGCGCGACCGTGACGCCGAGTGGGACGGTGGATTGCAGGAGGACGGACGGCTGCAGCTGAGGCTGCAGGTGAGGTATGCCGATGGGCGCTGGCGCGGCAGGCGGGTAGAGGGACGTCGCGGGAGGCCAGCAGATGCCGGGATCTATCATGAGCCGGTTGGGTATCGGCCTCAGGATGCTCCCGGACCCCGGTGTCGACATCAGCGTCGAGGCGGGTCCCATCGGTAGAGGCGGCGGACCTCTCAGCCGCAGCAGGGCCGCTCTGCACTGCTCCAGAGCTCCCGGCATGTGCAACAGATGCGTAGCCAGCAGCACGCTGTAGACGTTGTCCAACGTCACCTCCAACCGCCCGGTGTACATGTAGTTCAACAGAGGCGCGAACGCCTCGCCACCTGCAACGAGACAAGCCTTTGTCACTCCTCACGCACTTACTCTCTCCAAGGAACTCGTTCCGAACCGGACAGCTGCTTCGTTCTTCAAACGGCTGCGCTGTTATATTAAGCGTACGGCCACCGAGCGCGACGAGGCTGTCGTACCTTGAAGAACGACAGAACGCTCTCGCGTGGCAACATCGAACGTGTATGTACAACTAACGCGAGGGGAGGTATATGAAGCGTGCTCGCGGAAGAATTCGCGGGAGAATTCACGGGAGAATTCGCGGGAGAATTCGCGGGCTATGGACAGAGAAATCCTGGCGCGCGTTTCTGTCCTCGATGCACAGTTCGGTCGAAGTCTTTCGTGTCGGAAAGATGCTTTTGCGTTTCCATGGGCCTCTGTGTCGAATCTCTCGGCGCGTCGGGTCTCCAGGTGCGTCGGATCTCCAGGTGCGTCGGATCCGTGTCGTTTATTTTCGAGACTGTCATTCTTCGTTTTCGCTTCGACACTTTACCGGCTCAGAGACACAGAGTTGAATCCGAGAGGGAATCTTGGACAGCATCCAGTCTAGGCAGACGGTAGCTTCTCCGTACCGTTACTGGGTACGTCGAAAGCCATGTTTTCGGACACTGAACAGGTTCCTAGGCAACCATCGACACGGTAAATGAATTCGAATAGCTGAATACTGGATTTATATATATATAAATATAAATATATATATATATATATATATATATAT